TTCCCAGCCGGGAATGCACTCACTTGCAGAATACGATGGGCATAGAAGGCCTGTGAGAGTGAGCCAAGCGGTCTCTCGGGGCGCCTTGATGTCACGTGCCCTCCGGGACCCCGATCGATCGCAAACGCCACGACGCTACCGAAAATCTTCGCATTTCCGCTCTCAAGCTCCCAGCCGCATCTCTCCAAATCTCTCCCTCTCCCTTCACATACATGGCTACGACCGGCGTCACCACATCTCTCCACAAGATACTGACGACGACAACAAATCAATGTTGTCTCAGCTACAAACTCCAAGTCACGCCTGGTTCAAGGCTAGTCATCCCGAGGTATGCAACAAAGAATCGATAGATGAGGGTTAACTACTTTACATGTTTCACGACCGTCTCAAATCTACTTCCCTGCGATATGTTAGATAGGAGACAGTGCGCCGCTACATGATGATGAAGCCCAGCTGCATCCTGAGGTTCTGCATTGTCGCCGGCTGGTTCGCGATGACCGGAGGCTGGTGTGCGACGATAGGAGGCAACACGATGTTGTACGGCTGGTTAGGGAGATCAGCGAGTACCTGGACGATTGATGGGAGGTAGGTAGGAGCCGGCGGAGCTGGTGCGGCGGGAGGAGGAGGTATAATGATGAAGGCACCTTGAGCCGGCTGTGCGGCTGGTGCGGCGGTCGCGGGAATCGGCGCAGCAACGGGCGCGGCTGGAATAGGGGTAGGCAGAGCAACAGGCGTGGCAGGTGCGGCAGTCGGCGCATTGGCAGCACCTGCCGTGCGAAGTCGGTCGCGGTTCTTCACATAGCGAGACGGGTGGCAGAAGGATGGGCGGACTGCGCTGCGCTGAGGCCTGCAGCTCTCAAGGTCATGGTCATCGTCGTCGTGCTTCCTGGGCCTGGCGGCAACATTCTCCTTGTTCGCGGCGTGCCTCTTCCGGGGCTTTTCGTCGACCTCTTCCTTGACTTCCTCGACCTCTAGCGCTCTTTTCTTTCCCCTTTGGTTCTCCTTCTCGGATGCGTCCCGATAGCCGCTTGTGGTGAATAGGGCTACGACGTGGTCGGCGCGTCCCGAAGGTACGTTGTATCGAGGGTGTGGCTGCGAGACAAGGCGGCGCCTTGTTCAGTTGTATTTACTGTTCGTCGGTTCGACGCGAACTGAACAGCGGTAGATACCACTGTACGAGCTGCTTGTCGAACATCGTCGTCTCCGGGTGCTTGGCCGCTGTATTCGGGGACACGTGACAGCTGTCCAGGACTTGAGCGAGCTAGAGCTACGCAAGGGGAGTCAATATTTGTCCAGATCAAACATCAGATAAGCGGAACTCACCTCGATTTTGCAGGAATATTGGTGGAGGGCTCACGACACGATATTCACTGTGCTCGAGCGGCGGCGAGACAAGCCGGCGAACGAGCAGAAGTTGACCATGCGCGTCGTCGCTGTCGTCGTCACCGTCGTAGCCACTCTCATCGTCACTGGACTGGCCATTTCTCTCGACGTCGGACTCGGTGGCGTATCCATCGTGGTCGCTCGTGGAGTCGAACAGCTCGGCATCCAGTAGGTCCCGCTCCTCTTCTTTCTCAGCGTGTAGGTCGCTCATGTCGACGCGGTCCCGCTGCGCGACGCCACGGAGCCCGGGAGGAGCATCGGATGCGGGGCCGTTGGTTGTTTCGAGCCAGTGATCGAGCCACGCAATTGACGTATCCAGCTCCGCCAGTCTGGAAGTTGTGGCCGGCAAGACGGGGGACGTGGCGCGGGTATGTTTTAGGAGCATTGTGGTCTGGTTGCGGGGCGGTTGGTTGTACGCGACGCGCCGATGTTGTGAGCGCGGCAAGGTTGCTCTTTAGGAGTTGTATTCACTTGTACGTGATTATTGTGCGAGTGGCGAAGGCGCAGGTGGTAGGACAGACGAGCGATGTGGCCTTATCGTTGGTTTCAGAGATGCGTTGTAAAAGTGACTGGGTGGTCTGAGCGATACGATGCACTTTTCAAAATGTGAATGCGACGTTTGAAGGCAGTATCAACAGTGCGAAACGGGACGAATGATGTGGTGTGGAACGAAGGAGGACAAGGCGGG